GTAATGCATCCATTACACTTACCAGCAATTCCTGTCCTAAATGACTTCCTTTCAATCTCAGTGAAGTCAGTTAAATTCTAACTCACAATATTAAGTCAGTTAAAGTGCTAACCTGAAACTTTTCCTTTCAATAGTGTAACGACTTCTACAAAGCATTGGAAAGCCTCCCCAAAACTCCTAAAATTTTTTCTAGCAGTCATGCTTACTGCAGCAAATAACTCTTAACTCTTTTACACATAACAAAATGTGTGTGTGTGTTTCACACCCCCTTCATTGATAGAAAAAAGAGTTGGGGGGAGAAACAGATCACAAAAATATTTATTGGAATATATTCTGTTAGATTGTTACTATTAAAGGAATTAAGGCAGCATTATTAAAAGCAGATATTTGCATGGTATATTTGCTTATTTCCTCCCCCTGTTCTCACCCCCACAGGCACACACTATCACACAGAGACTGCAACACACGCGTCACTCCCAGTCCAGCCCAGCTGTTCACTCACCAGGGAGCTGCACTGGTGTGAGAGTGGCCTCTGGGCAGGTGTGCAGAGAGTCCCTCACAGGTCCCAGGTTTCCTCAGCAGCACATGCAGAGCTGGTGTCTCTGCACAGCTGCCACTGGCACCTCAGATGTGGACTGAGCTGCACAGCCCCCTCCTTGGTGCCAGCATGGCCTGGTGACCTTACACACACTCAGCAGGACCTGAGTCTTCCATTCTTGAGGAGAGAGCAGGATAAGTTTTCAGAGTCTGTCAGCACTTGAGAGACTTTTTCCTTCCCTCTCAGTACTCTTCCTCTTTTCAGGCTGTTCTGTTCTCACCCATGGATGTAGGTAGGATCCATTTGCATCCACTTGTGCAGAAGTGTGCATGACACTGAAATGTGTGTCCTGACTTCAGTCTGCTCTCCTCCCTCTAGCTGTGTATCTAGTGGTCTCTGTTAATTTATTGAAACAATTAACACACCTAGCAGGGATTAAGTATACTGTAGGGACTAGGGGTGGGGGAACAGGACTGTCAGACTCCTTGCTTTATTGTTATTCACATCTGAAAGAATTGTCAGTAAATAACCTTCAAAATCTTGGTGGCAAGTGTCATATTGTAACAGACACAAAAGTGTCTCTTGTGTTACATACTGAGTCAATTACACCGCTTGTGATTAAGAAAAACTGAGCACAATTCCCAGCTGGTGTTCCACACAGTTGCCAAAATGGAGTGTCTGGCCCATTGAAAAATAAATATTGCAGATAGGTTCCCCAGACAGTACTCTGAAATTATTGTCCTGAAAATTGTGGAGTTGATAATATGAAACAAGCAAAAAATGCTCGTCTGAAATCAAAGCACAGTGTATTTTCTTGGGAAAGGATGTGAAAAAGGGGAAAACAGCTCTAGTTCTTAATCTGACAGCAGCAAGCCACCTCATATAGTCACAGTCATGCTGAGTCCTCAGTCTTTTCCTTCTCTCTCCCCTTCCCACCTATGTAACTTGTAGAGTTTTATATCCAGATAAGTGGATTGGAGCACAAGCAATGAAATGAGTAATGTAATTTGGTGCCCATTGTCGGCATGGTGTTGGCTTCTTCCATTATGACAACAAACAAAATTCAATTACTGTTTGGATATGAACAATTGTTGCCAAATTACCTGCCAAGTCTATTTTCTCTGTTGGCATGAAATGAGCAACTCCATAGAAAGGATGTCAAGTATTTCCACAGTAAAGAGCAAAAGAGGAAGAGAAGAAACAGAACTTTAAGAAGAGGAACTGAATGACAATAAGACCATTTTGGGCCACAGTTTTGCTGTGAAGAGTCCCTAAGTTGTAACAAAGAAAGCAGTGCCAGAGCAGACCCCAGATGGACGTGAAAAGGCTATCAGCTGTGTTTTGCCAGCACTCTGCATCGCCTAGCGAAAAAATGCCTTGCAGCTGGTCAGTGAAAAAATCACTGCTATGCTTAGCATAAAAATATCATTCATATCCTATCACTACCTTCACAATTTACACGCACAACAAACTTTCTCCAAGCCTTTTCAATTAAACCAGAGAAGAAAAGCCTGTGGAAAAAGGTATTCATGTGTACTGATGCGATTCAGAACCTGATTATTGAGTAGCACAGGGCTGTGAATCTACTCTATTTTCCTATGCAGATATCTTTAATCTTCATTTGTTAATTGACATAAAGTATCAAATATCCAGTAGAATTATGGTTATATGTGATTATATTTTAGTAATCTTTCAAGTGATGGTTGCCATGTAGCTCTTGAAGTCTGGAAGTTTGAAGTAATTATTTTCTTATAGGAAGGATGAATCAAGAAAATAGTAAGAGTCCAGGCAAATATGGGGAAATACAGGTGCTTGTCACTTTCTTAGTTTGAGAAGAGGGAAGGGATTGGATTGTAGATTGTTTAATATAATATAACCTGGAATATATAGATAAATCTGTATTTAGTCAGGTCACTGTATGCAAGCACATGATACTAAAGGTATCAATTTTGAAAACTTTTTTGAAAACTACTGAAGCTGATACTCGTCTGTGTTTTCTGTCTATATACTGAGGATGGGTGCATATGAAAATTGTAGGTATATGAGCATATTATTTTATCTGACTTCAGCCTATGAGATGTGAATTTTAGAAAATGACATGGGCTATAACTTATAACCTGGAAAAAACCCACAACATTATTTACTGTAATGAATTTCTGCAGAAAGCAATGCTAGAAAAATGAACTGAAGGCCCCATTAAGCAAGTGGTAAATAAAAAGGCAATTTAGCCAGATCATTTATTTAGCAAGTGGAAACAGACGTTGTTGCCTCCACTTTCTACTTCCCACTGGCCCCAAAGAAGTTTTTACTGAATATTTTACCAATTACTTCTATTAGGCAATTATTGGGAAAATGCTGATATCGCTGTGAGGAGTTAAAGAATGCAGTTTCTTGTCTCAAAACACTGTCAAAGCCGCAGAAGGAACTTGCTGTAAGATAAGCCACTGAACAAAAAATTCCCACTGTGTGGACTGTGGGAACTTGAGATAAACTCAGACAGCAACAACAGGAAGATGCTAATTCCAGGCCTGGTGAGGCAGATCTGGGTAACCTATCAGGACAAAAGTTTGCAGTGTCAAGCAGTGGGAAAGGAAACAAGTTGCACATGCCATCTCAAGTTATGGGAATGGTATCTACATCCCATGGATACCTGGCACTTGGACTGTATAAAGGTGATACCCCAAAAGAATGACTCTGGGATGCCACCTCTGAGAAGACCAGGGTGAAGAAGGACCAGCAGGATGCCACAGAATCCACAGGGTGGTGATATCTTTCTCTCCCCCCATCCCTTCTCCTATTTCTTTCTATCTCTCCACCTCACACTTACTGTTAAATAAAATCCATACTCTTGACTTTGCCATGTGGTCTCGTTTGCATCTTAATTTAGGCAGTCATCTCTTTATAAATGGATCGTAACAGCTGCCTGCCAGGCTCAAACAGGCACTGATGTAGTGACATCAGACCCCAAAATCCATCAAGTCCAAGTTTTAACCTTGCAAGCCAGGGAGACCATTCCCATCCTCCTCACTGCAGAAATAGGTTCAACACTCATGTGGCCCTAACAGCAGTATCAATTGTTGAAATGTGCAGACTTTGTTCTCTGTTTTCCTGGGTTTTGATCCCCTTTTTCACCACCTCTGTACTTCCCTTTTCCCACTCCCAGTCTCAAAGAAACAACCTGCTGATACTTGCTGTACCACCACTGATCCCAGTTTCAGTATGCCTGTTGCACTGGTGCTCCCTTATGTGTTAGCATTAATACCTTTGCACTAGGCATTGCCGACCTTTGAGGAATTTAATCCCTAAAATATCACTGAACCCCCATTATCTGCAAAGTTGACCATCTTTCCCGTAATTCCCTCTTATACACCCGTGGACACAGACAGCTTCATGTCACTACCTATAAATTTTTTTGCTCTTTGCTCTGCCACTGCCACATCCAGTGGTTTCTTACATTGTGTCCAGTGATTATCTTTGTCCCATTGAGTTATCTCAGTCATTAAGCCTAGTCATATATTTTAAAAAATTACCTGTAAACAATATATAACCTATATTTTGTCGTATATATATGCTGCATAATGCATTTCTGTCTGCAGAGGGTCTTGGCCTCCTCCATTGTGTGGAGATCTGAACTCCACAGAATCACAGAATGGGTAAGGTTGGAAGGGACCATAGTAGATCATCTGGTCCTCCTTGCTCAAGTAGGATCATCCTAGAGCACATTGCACAGGATTCTGTCCAGATGATTCTTGAATATCTCCAGTGAGGGAGACTCCACAACCTTTCTGGGCAATCTGTTCCAGTGCGCAGTCACTCACACAGTAAAGTTGTTTCTCTTATTTAGGTGGAACTTCCTGTGCATCTATTTCTGCCCACTGCCTCTTGTCCTATTTCTTGGCACCACTGACAAGAGCCTGGATCCATTCTCTTGACACCCTCCCTTCAGATACTTGTAGATATTGATGACGTCCCCTCTCAGTTATCTCTTCTCAAAGCTGAACAGGCCCAGCTCCCTCAGCATTTCCTCACAAGAGAGATGCTCCAGACCCTTAAGCATCTTTGTTGCCCTCCACTGGACCTGCTCCAGGAGCTCCCTGTCTCTCTTGTACTGAGGAACGCAAAACTGGACACAGCACTCCAGATGTGGCCTCAGGAGGGCTGAGCAGAGGGGTAGAATCACCTCCTGCTGGCAATGCTCTTCCTAATACAGCCCAAGATACCATTGACTTTCTTGGCCACCAGGGCACACTGCTGGCTCATGGACAGCTTGTTCAGGACCCCCAGGTCCTTCTCTGCAGAGCTGCTTTCCAGCAGGTCAACCCCCAGCCTGTGCTGGTGCCTGGGGTTATTCTTCTCAAGTTGTAGGACCTGCATTTGCCTTTGTTAAATTTCAGACAGTTTTTCTCTGCCCATCTCTTCAACCTGCTGAAGTCCTTCTGAAGGGCTGCACAACACTCTGGGATATCAGCCACTCCTCTCAGCTTTGTGTCATCAGTAAACTTGTTTGTATTCCTATTTTGTGTTTTATTGCCTTTAAACTTCTAGGTTGCATTTTACATCAGCTGAAAGAATATTCAGGATAAGTTAGGATATGTGGGCTGCTGAGAATTTTTTCATTTGTACTGAAGTATATCTTTGTCCACTGATGCTGCTATTAGTATGTACACAAGTTAATTGCATTCATATCAGGTAATAAAGAGAACAAGCTAATGTTCTAACCCAACAATCGTTTTTAAGGAAACATATTTCAGAGAAACAGACTTCACTGCAAATCTTGTAAGAGTCAAATATTTATATTTTTACTGACTTTCCTTGAAAAAACAAGATGACAGTATATGACAATGCAATGCACTTACCAAAATAATGCAACAGCCATGCTGGGACAGACTAAAAATTGGATCAGCCCAAATTTTTAATAGCAGACAAATGATGGCTGCTTTTGCAAAATAAGTATGAAAACAGCACAAACAAATGACAATTCCAGTGCATTGTTCTCATTTTCAGCAATTTAAAGCTTAGGGACTTCCTGAGTTCAAGCTTGTATCTTTGTTGCTGTGTATGTTTATATCAAGAGACATTGATGGAATTTTTTTCCCCTGGGAACTAGATCTTTTGGAAGTTAAATCAAATACTATCACTGTTCCAGCCTGTCTATAGTACAATAATGTCATATTTCCAAACTTCTGCAGAGAGTAAAGTGATCTTGAAATGATGATACTTAGTAAAGAATCAGAAGAAATTCTGTAACAATAAATACCCTTTTAAATTAACCAGCCTGATACATGAAGGTAGTGAACATTTGCATTCCTACTGATCTTGAATGATTTAAGGGGTATCTGCAATTTCTGGACCTCAGAGCTATGACAAGAACTCAGTAAAGAGTATCAGTTGCTATAGTCTGAAAGTCATACAGTGGTATGACTATCTTTCCTAGATAGGGAAGCCAGAGTGTGGTTTGCAGACTTGAATTCAGTATACAACAGAAGGAGAGGAATCAGTCTCCTGTATTGTAATTCCTCTGTTAGAATTACTATATTATCCAAACAATAAGGAGTACAAAAACATAAGAAAAGGAGGAAGAAGGGCTTCCCATATGACATAGGACAGAAAAGATCTATCAGAGGTACAGATAAACACTTTTATGAAACTAAGATTGGAAAATTTGTGCATTATTTTTGAGGATAAAATAATTAAATCTTTCTTTCTTTCTTTCTCCATACCCTCAGTGAGTGTACTAACCTCCAAAATAGTTTAAGTGTTACACTACCATTTCTTTCCATCAATGTTTACTGAGAGAAAAAAAACCTTCTATGGTCCTCTAGTGGAAGGCTGTGCTGATGGTTGACTGCTGTGCTCCACCCTGATTCTAGCTCGGCCAAGTTAATAATCAAATGACGATTAGCTCAACATAAGAGGTCAAGAAAAAAGATGAGGCCAGTGAATTCCAATCAAAGTGATTTTTTTTCCCCAGTAGTTTGAAATAGGACCTGTAGATCATCAATAGCCTTCTCCTTTGTGGTTTTGGTAGTTCCTCATTTTGCCTACAGGCTTTTCACAGAATCATGGAATCATTAATGTTGGAACAGACCTCCATGATCATCAAGTCTATCCTTTGACCAATCACCACCTTGTCAACTAGATTACAGCACTAAGTACCACATCCAGTCATTTCTTGAACATGTCCAGGGATGGTGACTCCACCACCTCCCTGAGCAGTCTATTCTGATGCTTAATAACCCTCTCCATGAAGAAATTTTTCCTGATGTCCAAACTGAACCTCCCCTGGTGCAGCTTGAGGATATGTCCTCTCATCCCGTGACTAGTTGCCTGGCAGAAGAGGCCAACCCCCACCTGTCTACAACCTCCTTTCAGGTAGTTGTAGAGAGTGATAAGGTCTCCCCTGAGCCTCATTTCCTCCATTCTAAATAACCTGAGCTCCCTCAGCTGCTCCTTCAATGATTTACTCTCTAGACTCTTCCCCAGCTTCATTGCTCTTCTCTGGACCTGCTCCAGCACCTCAATATCCTTCCTTAACCGAAGGGGTCAGAACTGCACACAGTACTCGAGGTACCACCTCACCAGCACCAAGTACAGAGGAACAATCACTTCGCTAGTCCTGCTGACCACAATATTTCTGATATAAGCCAGGATGCCATTGGCCTTCTTGGCCACCTGGGCACACTGCTGGCTCAAGTTCAGTGGTTGTTGACCAGCATCCTCAGGTTCTTTTCCACTGGGCAACTTTCTGGCCACTCTACTCCCAGCTTGTAGTGCTGCATGGGGTTGTTGTGACCCAAGGGCAGGACTCAACACTTGGCCTTGTTAAACCTCATACTGTTGGTCTCAGTCATGTTGGCTTAGAATTATTTGTTTTACAACAGATTCTGCTATACAATAGGCAGTTATCACTTCTCTTTCCAGTAATTGTTTTCAGTACTGCACCTATACCTATGATCTTTATAGACATAATTTAACCAGCTGTTGTGCCAGATTTAAAATTATGGGGTAGCATTCCAGGAATTATGTTATTCTTGCTTTTAAGTATCCCTTCAACCAACCAATGTAAAACACATAACCAATGGCACCAAGGGATATCTTACTAGATATCAATAGGATTTTTTCAACTAGATCATAGCAACATCATGTGTGTGCAACAATATCATGTGTGTTCATGGCCAACACCATATTACTCCAATGTTCAATTATCTGGGATATTTATCTTTGGTATCTGTTTTACACCTGCTTGAAGCAAATTTAGCATTTTGCTAAATACAAGTTACTGAATGTGAAAATCGGATCAAATTGTACTGTTGCCTGAAATAATGAAATATTGTACTAAGCACTTCAGAGAGGCCCCCTGATTTATTCTGGTCCCATGTACCTTCACCCTACCACCATGGGCACAAAAAGTCATTATATATGATGAGTCATTATAGCTCTATGATCACAGAGAACATTTTCTACAGATATTCAATAACCTTCCAAATTACATACTTCACAGAAGTAGGTCAAATTGAGCAGTGATTGAAGACTAAAGTTTCTACAAGTACCCAACTATCCAGATTTTATCAAGATAATACTGTTATCCAGATTTTATCAAGATAATACTGTAAAGAAATGTTCTGCATGTTAAGAATGGCTTATCTTTTTGTAATAAAGATCTAAAACCACTGTGAGTAATTCAAAGGTCTTTTCTTTTATGACCTCTTTTTAAGTTCCTGCTCTTACTCTCGCTCTCTTCATGTGTTATTAAATCATGTTGTACAAGATCAGGGTAAGATCTGAGTCACTGACAGTGTTCATCAGTTCTGCATCAGAGTGAAAGGAAAACAGTAGGGTGACTGAACATGGAGATTTCTATTATTGTGGAATCTTCTGAGCATTGCAGAAACTCATTGACACTATGGAGCTGGGGTGCATCAAAGTGTCTACTAGTGCATGTCTTTGGATAGCAGATTGGCATCTATTCTTTATTTCTTAGTTCTCTTAAGGGACTTTTAATTTTCAGACTTTTGTTCCTGGTGAACAAGATCACAGGAACACATATTGTAGATTTGTGCCTACCTTTCATGTTGCCCTTTACATCATTTGTTGGCCATTTCATTCACCATCTGCACTTCCTTCTAGGGATAAACCAGTCAATAGTTACCACCTGTACCAATTCTTATGCCATTAGAAGCCTGTAGAGTAAATATAGTTAACAGTAGACTTTGACTGGGTGCCCCTGTCTTGGGAAGATGATGATTCTGATTTCAAACAGATGTCACTGACCAGCAGTGACATCTCACGTCAGAAAGAGAATATGGTGTCCCAAGAAGATATAGCTGTGGCCACCATTATTTGACTCAGAAAAGAGAATTACCATTCTGTAGGAAATTCTGACATTTTGGAATCTGTTCTTATTATGATTAAAATGAAAAATACAAATGTCAACATTTTCTAAAAGAGATTTCCAAGGAAATATTTCTTTGAAAATGTCAGAATTTCAGCAATATTTTCTTGTTAACAATTTTGAATCATTAATCTACAAAAGAATATATTTATGTGAATATATCTGCTTTTATACACGAACAGTAAAACATTATTCAGATCAGTCAGACTGAAACTATAATTCACAGCATAAATGAAAGATGATGAAATCATAAAGAAATAGTCTTATCACTGTGAAATGATAAATCTTCTTGTGATAATACTTTTGTAGGTATAATATTATGTTTAATTATATTGCCATATCGGTTCGATCATTAAAATTTGTAAGTATTTCATAAAATCAAGGCCACAAGCACAGTGATTGCTGGTGTTATTTACTTATTGTTAACTCTGATTCAGATAGTTTCATAGTCAATGTTTCATAAGGCACTCAGATAATTTTTTGCATTAAAAAAAAACCAGCAATTTGTCTGTTAGCAGGTGACCTCTTAGGAAGGAAAATAAGCTTTGATTCTAGTACAATAAACCTAGAACTTAAATGGAATTACTTTTAAAATATTTACAATCTTACTTAAAAAGTGATTAAATTGTTAGTTTTATATGTTCTGGCATTTATATTTTCACAAAGGTGCTTATGAAAATTTAGCTATACCACTCCAATAACTGCTGAAAATTTATTCCAAAGTGTGTTATTTTCTACACTTCAGTAAATAACAACCTTGAAGTTTATGGCCTAAGTATGCTATTTTTTTCATCCTCTATGTATCCAGCTTTCTTTGATTGCTTGGAATTAATTTGCAAAAGAAACACTTCATAGACAATTCTTCTTATGCTCTGTAGCATTCTTAGATGTTAAAAGGGTCTTTAACTGTGGATTTAATTGCTTCAGTGGGTTTTAAAAAGCATTTATTAAATGTAGTGTTTTGTTGAAGGAGAATCACAAGATACAAGGGACAGAAATCTTGCTTTTCTAAAAGCTTAAGCAGTACTGGTGTATTAAGGTACCTGCAGTGTCTTCACCAGGGCTTATCCCTGGCTTGATAAAGTGTTGAGGATCCATCAGATTCCTGGAGGAATTAGTTTAGAGCACTGTGTGTGCATGCTTGTGTGCGTGCACACAAGAGTGGGATATCATTTACTCTAATGCTGTGTACTGGGAAGTGCCCTTGCTGGCTCTGTGCATGGCCAGCATCCCACAAGCAGGTCTGTGAGACCTGGATAGGAGGCCTCAGCAACAGTCATCAGATATTATGGCCTCATGTGGACAATCTGCATTTCGTTTCAACACAAAAATGAAATCATACTGAAATTCTCAGTTAAATTATATATGGAAATTATTAAAATTGTAAACATGTCAGCCTCCACAGTATTTGTTTCGTTAATGAGTTCCATTTATTTTAGTCTATTCCTCTCATTTCAACTAGAGTATAGAACTGAATGCCGCTTGTTAGGTTACACTTGTGAACTCACCAATTTATTTTCCTGAATAAGCCATGAAATGAGATGCTCACCCCCTCAGAGCCATTTTTACTAACCTGTCTTGAGGTGCACATGCACGTGCATGTGCACACACACACACACACACACACCATGTGAGCACTTCCCAAGTTATGTCCCAGTGGCAATTCCAGAATTTTTTTCTGAACCATAAAGGCCACATGCATAAATAAATTTCAAAGAGACTTCTGAACACTGATCTTGTTACAAGTATCCAAGATGCAAGCCTCTGTTGTACCTGCTCCGCTTCCTTTGTACCTATCTCACCTGTTTTTGGCTAGCATTACCTTTAAGAATCTGTAAAGGGGTGCTGTTGTAAGTCTGTCAGAATCCCCCTCCACCTCTGCATGCCAAATGATGGGGAGAAGCAGTCAGGCCATGCCTGCATCTTCTTGTAGCTTTTTCTCTCTCCCATCTCTGCTCTGACCTCTTGGTCACCTCTCTGCAGTTCATTGCTGTCAGTCTCATCTATGTGCATATTTCACAACAGCTTGGTACAACCCCTGTGTTTCCCCTGTTCTGGGGCTCTAACATGCACTTACTTCAAGAGCACAGCACACACATTTATATCCAGGCTCCAGGTTCAGGTACTCCTCGTTGGAGACAGGCAGATAATACTCCTCCCTGTCCTTCCCTATCTTGCACAAGTACCTGTGTACCTTGATACAGTCATATGCCACTTGATGCAGTAAATTTTCTGCACAGTTCTCTTGAAAACATATTTCCATTGATTTATTTTAGTCAGTTATCTGTCACATTTTAACAGATTTTATCAATCAAGGCCTTCTGTGTGTGGAAATCCTGTCCCTGTCCTACTAATAGTACTGGCTGTTTTATGATAAATTAACAATATAGTGCCAAGTTAATCTTTCAGGTCAGTGAATTTTCCTTAAGTCCCACTCCATGCAGGTTGGATAATAAAATGCACTATGCTACTACGCAATTTAGAACTGCAACATTTAATAAATCTAGATATTAATTTGACTATTATAATACCAGATATCAGCATCCTAAATAATTAACCTGAATTTTAAAAGTATTATTTTTTCAGACAACATATTTATTTGCAGGTTATTACATAGCACAGAGGACTTGTCTTTGCCAAATATATTTTTCATTCATTAGTTTTAACCAGTCTCAATAGATCTGACTGCCACCATGCAGAGAAGTAGAACAAAGTAGATAAGTGAATGAATTTCCATTTTATCCTAAGCTCAAAAATTCTTCAGGCAAATCGTTTCAAAGTACATATAAATTAAAATATAATTTGCTCTTTTTTTCCACTTCAGAAGTTAATGCCTGTGTTCTTTGTTTAGTCTCTGTTATTCATATCATGTCAGGTTCTAGGTCACTGCATACAGGCAGCTGATATTTCACAACTGATCTTAGTGGGGCTTAATTGGCTGTCTTGTGAAAATCATATGTTTCCTAAACAAAGATCAAAATGCATTCCTACTGGTAGATCCCTTTTTCCCCAGGAAAATATCTATGAGTGAGCACTTCAACAAAAAAAATACGATGAGCACTGGTATTGTTTCTTAGTTTAATTTTTCTTCAGACATAGTTTGATTTTTATTATTATTTATGGAAATGGCTGTTATGGACTTCAGGGATAAATGCATAAAATTTTCTTCCCTTTTTTTAATTTTATTTGTCAGGATTCTTTGTGCAGAGTTGAGGTTTTCTGTAATGTGATCACTTGAAGATTTCAATCTAAAAATGATATGACAATACAAACCAAAAATATACCCAATATAGAAAACATAGACGTGGTTTAATTGCAAAAAGTCAGCATAAAAATCTTTAAACATTCATCTATCCTGACATCATCTCTTGGAATATGTCTGGATAGTGGTTCCATAGGGTAGGCTTTTGGGGGGTGCAGAAGAGCATTGTTAATTTCTCCAATGTTGCTTTTTCAAATTAGTGATTTCTCCAACTTTATTTTAGAAATGTCTAATCATTATAGCTAAATTGACTTATTTCTATAGAAAAACATTTCTTGCTAGCTCTTTTATTGAGAACCGCAGGTCAACATCCTCACCCTGTATTTCATCTTTGGCTAAAAGCATTCTCTTATTCTATATAAAGGATTTTCTTAAGACCTGGAGCCTTAGTGACAGATCTAAGAGACAGCCTGTCCTGTCCATTCACAAAGATAAAACTCTCACTACCTTGCATCCCAGCATCTGAGAGGATTTTTTTTCAGATTAGAAAAGGTAATCCTCCTTATTAATAACCATAGAGATGCTGTTACAAATATTTTGTTTCTACTCCTTTAAATTTTAACCATTATCCACCTCATTCTCTATTCTCCCTCTGCGTACCCATTCTGTACTGTGTTAAATATAGTACCCTTCTCTGTATCCATCTTTTATCCAGTAATTTTTCCTTGACTAGACCACAATCATATTCTCTGCCACCCACCAGGAAAAATTTTCAACAAAATACCTTTGCTACTTGGAAGGAGCTACTTGTACACAATTGTACTTGTCTTTATCTTCTTTAAGTAAATTCCTTTTTTATTAAAATCCCAAGGGGAAAAAATAATGGAAAAAATCAGGCAACAGATATGGTGGCAGGACTGTCTGTCGTATTGATGTGCATGGATTTTTTTCCAGTGCTTGTACCTATCTCATGTTTCATCCCTTGTGTTTAGAATACTGATTCTCTGCAGAAGAGACCTTTTTATTATTGTTGTTATTACTTTTTAATACAGTGGCGTGCTAGCCCATGAACGAGATTGATGCCAATATAGCTAATGACAATAACAACATTGGAAACTTACTATGGGAAATGATCATGCTCTGAATGCTTTTATGACTGGAGAACTGTAAAAAATGAACTTTTTACTCTCTTTTCCTTTCCATTGAACTCTGACCTCTCTCCATTTTGCAATATAGGCACCACAAAATTAATTAAGATTCTGGTCCAGGGCAAGGTATTACATGTTATCTGCAGTCACTTTAGGAAAAAATTATCATTTAACTTTCTGCCATTCACATTAATGCAATGAAACCAGTATAAGTTACATACAGTCTTTGAGCAGTATTTTCTGAGTCACACTGACCTTGTGTCCAGTAATGAGACTGTAACCAATCAGTTGTACTGTGATGATGAGCTGGAGAGCCTTTACACTAGAACGTAAATTAGAACACATAGCTCCAGCAGATCAGTATGGTTCTTTGTGACGTGTTATCCCTTCTACTCATTTCTATGGCAATGGTGCATCTGACTGTGAACAAAGAAATAAGAATGAGGAAATTCTGTAGTCTTAGGTTCCTTTATGGAATTGTTAAAACCAAGACAAGAAGAAAGCACTAGATTCACAAGGCAGACTGAAACCATACAAATGTAAGGAAAATGTAATAAGTTAAGCACTTAAATGTAGTAAAGTGCTTTAGACAGGCAAAGATTTAGATATATAGGTGTCATTTGACTTCCAGAAATATAAAAGATGTTTTACCACCTAAAGCTCCTCTTGAATATAGGCAAAATTCAAATTTTTAAAATACTAAATTTAACCAGTAACACCACTTTGAAGAAGATACTCTTATTTCATGTTTAACCTATATTGAAGAATGTAAAAAGAAATTTTAAGGACTAGGCTTTGCTTTCAGTGAGATTTATAAAACATATTTTTCTCCATGTCCAACAGAATATATTTCAATTCCTTCTCTCAGAAAGAGGATATAATGAGGGTAATGGAACTTAAATCAGACTATGGGAAGACTCCAAATCTCATTTTCTTACAGTATTCTGGGTCTTCATTGTTTAGAATTGGATTTTCCCTATAGCAATTAGCTAGTCCCCTATAGTTCTGTATAAAGTCCCCTATATTAAGCCAAGCTATAAAAAACCTCATTCCAGTACCTACAGTATGTTTTAAGTAGAATTTAGAAACATACACCCAAAAGAATTATCTGTAAGAATACTGTTTAACCTAAGAACTGCTTAAATGTTCAGCAGCCCATATGGGATTCATGATCTAGATATCTACAGTGTCTGTAGGGGTTTTTTCTCATGTCTTGGGTCTACAATGGCAGCATTTGTGTATGAGCTAATCATTCAAAGCTTTTTATAATGAATGACCAAAACTATATAAAGTACAATTCAGTTCTATTTCAGGCATTAACATTAGGATGAGATTATGCCATGGAAGTACCCACTTCAATAACCAAAAGGAGTCTACTTTGTATGCATATATATTTACTCAGATGATTCATACTCCATTGGGTCTACATTTTTATTAGAAAACTTAATGTGTTGCCTGTTGTGTGTGCCCAAGTTCACCTTCATAGAGCGGTTCACCAGCTTTTGAGTGCCTCGCTTGTACATAAGGCTGTTTCTAATTCCACACTAGACCTAAATCTGCTGAGTTGAGTAATCTGGTAGGCACAGCCTGAAAACAGCTATGCTGGAGTGACAACAGAGAGCACATTGCTAAGGACAAAAATCTGTGTGGGATCATGCAAATTCCAAGATGCAGATGAGGTACACGAGAAGTGAAAACTGCTTTAGACTGAAGTTTTGACAAACCTAAGAAAACAATTTCCTGCTCAGTTAGTGGGTTGCTTCTTCAGAGTGAGAATGGATGTAAACACCCTCTGGAACAATGTATTTGTTCTGGATAATCACATATTTCGTGCTGACTTGTGATTTCCATACCCAGAGCCTGGCATGAAGAAATGGTAATGCACAATACTTGTTGTGAAATTTATTGCTTACATCTCAATGCTTAGTATTTAGTGCAGAAAGAATTCATCTACTCCAAACCAACCCACTCATATTCAGAAATACAGAACATATTAAATTCTTTGAGAGAGGAGAGAGACCTTCACGTGCAACTAACATAAGATTGTACACTTTTTGAACCTATTAAAAAAGGAAAATCTGTGCTGCCATGTGCTTATATGCCTATAAAAATAAGTTGCATCTGTATAGAGTTATCTTTATTTTGAAAGCACTTATCTGACAGAATGGTTCCTATTCCAGTAGGTTCACCTTCTCCCTATGGATTTCCATAGTTGTATACTTGCCTGGTGTACTGTTTTGAAGCTACAGATGCTATAATATCAAAAATATACTTCTGAGACACAGAAAGTGGATAAAAAGCCAAACACAAAGGGATTTATTTCCTTTTTTGAAATTGAAATTTCCTTATGTGAAAATTAAAAGAATTTTAATGTATTTTAAATTATTTTTTTCATATCTCAACAATCAAAGATAATAGGACAAACATGACAAACATAAAGGAGCAGTATGCATCTTACCTTTCAAAATGCAAATACATGTAGTATTTGCATTCACACTTTCTGAGGCAGCTTTTGCCTGAGGGAGGCTCCCAGCTCCAAGGACCTAAACTAAAGCTAGAGGTGGGGGTAACATGAGAAACAAGTAAGTACCACATCTTTCTGCATCCAGAAATGGCAATACTGATAACATTATCGAATCTAAAACTTGCTTGACACCCCTATCTCATTTACTATGAAATGATCATTTAGTAGAAAGACACATTGTGGCATGAGAGCCTACCCCATAAGACCTAAAATCCAATCAGAGAATGCAAACAATGCAAGCCATCATGCAAGTTTAACTCCTGGCACCAGGGTGCTGTCTTGGTGTTGAATTATGCTAAAACCAACCTGGTTTACCAGACTTCAAATACACATCTTGCTTTTTGAAGCAGGATTTGACAGATAAGCTAGTCTGCTGGCCTGTAGATCTATGACTATCAGTCAATAACTTCATCTTATAAAAGTCCAGTCCCCTTTCATAAAGTCAGGTTCTTCTAATGTATGTGTGGAGGTTCCTCCCTTGGCTGGGGATGCCCTCCAAGGATACTCTTCAAGACTGAGAGAAAGAGGTCTCTCCATGAGCATTGGTGTGGGTGAGTTACATCAATCTCTACTTAATAATTATTACTCTTTGCTAGATTTAATATAATTGTTTCAATAATTGCTTCAATATACTGCACTACCTTATACAATACTACTAGTAGTTTTAGTTTTTATATTGTGTAGTAAATAATTCTGATTAAGATATTTTGTCTGATCATTTGTAATAATAAATGATTCATTTTATATAAATATTCTCATTTTGTCGATCATTAAAACGCTGGATAAAAGTGGTTCAATCACACCTCTGTAATTTTTTTAATTTTAACTATTGACATAATCCAAGGCTAAGATAGGATTCAACTGAATCTAGACTTGTCTCTGAGAAGGAGTTTAGAAAGCAAAGGAGTCCTTTCTGCGCCTCGTTACTCAACGGCAGGACTTTTTAAAATAAATTTTATCTAAGCCTTCCACTCCCACCCGTGACACACCTTTCCCTTTGTCATCACATTTCATCAGCACAAAGCACCCTCAACAGTTCATCCTATGTAGGAAATTACTTCATCATTATCGCTTACTTACTTGAATTTATTTTTGCATTTAGAGGAATGGAACATAACCTGTTTATGCTTACTTTTCAAAAAACTGGGTCAAACATTTGGAGATGTATAAAGTATGTTGTTCACAGAAACAATAGGCTATTAATCATCTGTTCTTTTGGAATCTGATCGTTCCCTAGTGAATTAATGTTACTTTACAGGTGGGAATCTCAAAGATAACATTCAGTATTTCTCTAGGAAACTACTACTCTAAGAGTCATACTTTCCACTGTGCAGTTGAAATAAAAATTCCAGTGGGAGAAGGACACCACAAGTTAAGCCTTTTCTTTACTCATCCAAAACATCAGATTGCTATTAACATACAGGAGAAAAAAAACCCCTGAAAAACAAAGACTTTTGAGTCAAAAGTAAAGAATAGAGATTAGGAACAAAGGCTGACCAAACCATCAAACTGTTTGGACTGTTTGTGCTGTGCTGTGTTGCTTCTCCAGCAGATGTCAAGGTGGTTAAAGACCCCACAAGAATTAGCACTTTTGACTTTGAGTCTGCTTCAAGCTGCCTTATAGAAGGCTTCATCCACTTCTTCCTCCTGATCAGTGGCCTGTAGCAAACACACACAACACTGTCACCCTTACTAGTCTGCACTTTAATCCTAACCATAAATTAATCTCATTAGTCACTAAAAATATATTCTTCAGCAAAGTGATTTTCTAAGTGATTCATTTAAGTGAAAGTACCAAAAACTTTAGATAGAAAGCCTGTCAAGGCACAATTGTGGTTTATCTGGGAATCTCACTAAAAAGTATTCTACAAAAAGTATTTCTCTGGGTGCTGGATTTGTGTCTTTAATTTCTGTGGGAGATTCCATAGAATGTTTATCAATTTTGTCATCTCAGAATAGTCTGCATTAAGGAACTTGTTCTTCTTTAGTTTTATCAGAGGACACATTGGCTCTCATGTCTCTGATGCTTGTTTTTTTACAGTCAGAACAGCCATTTTCTGACTGGACTTTTTTCCGTTTTGTTTAAATCACTTGACACTTGCATATATGTGGTCTCTGACATGGAGGAGGTCTAGATGGTCCTCATCATTAGCTTTCAACTGAAAGGAACAAATGAAGTAGAGCAATGAATTCTGTAATAGGATCCCTGACAACTATAATTTAGTTTCAGCACCTCATAGACTACATTTTATTCACAAGGTCCTATTTGAATTTTCTAGCGAACATTCATGCATTCAAGTACAATTTGTTGTCTAAGGTATATAATTTCTTTAAACTCCTACTAGGATAAGTTTCTATTCCAGTAGACCTCAGTGTGTATAACCTCTGGGTGGGAAGCTTACCTAAAGAATGACATTGTGCTTATACCCACAGGAAACACATATTGAAAGTTGTTCTCTGAACTGAATAGTAGGTTACAGCCACGGTTTTCATCACAAAATCTTGACTCGTAATATTTAAAAAACTTCTATTTTCTATGCATCTATTCACTATATTTAAAGATTCAGCCGTAGAGTCATTCTGTCCTTTAGCAGTAGACCTCAGCAACAACAGGCAGGAAACCTTCAAACAACTTTATTCTATTAAAAGACTGAATTTACTTCAAACTAGGAAGAGCTGGGAATTGTACCATTTCCAATGCTTAAAATACTGAATCCTGTAGTAAATTTTGCACTTTAAGGGTACATATAGTATATATGAAAATGAACCTGTTGGATCATTCAGTCCAGTAACTTACAGGCAGGCAAATACATCATGCCATATACTATAGTTATCTAAA